CGTGCTCAGACATCATGACTCTTTCTGTCCTCCCACAGAGACAAACCAGGGCATCTGTCCTTGTTGAGAGGCAAGGATTTGGGGGAGTGTCGCTGAGGAGTGAAGAGTAAAACCTTTACAGAAAAGAACACGACTGAGTGACCGTAGAAGACAAATGCTGTCACAGCCAGGTGATTTTGGAAGAGACAATATTAAAGTTTTTGAGCATCCAGGAGCAATGCGGGAGCACAGGTAGCACGAAGGGCCTTATGCCAGGACAGGATATCAGGTTCCTCTGTTGGCAAGACTAAGCTCTCTGTTTCGAGAAGTGACCTTAAATTATAAATCTCATCAGAATCTTGATCCCAGGGGAGTCTTGAACAGGACAGCTATTCAGTCTTGATATTTCTATATTAGGCCATTTAATGTCTATCACTAAACTATAATTTTCCTTTACCAGGGTTAAAAAAAAATATTTCATTTCCTTTAAACCGCTTTAACAGGGTTTAAACTTGCCTGAACTGGGCTAAGAACAGCACCAGGGAGCTCTAGGTATAACTTGGCATCCTCTGCTCTCACCAAGCCACCTTCCTGTGCAGACATATGGCACTGGCCCCTATACATCTGATATCCTTGGTCATGACTTGCTCATACCAAATTTAGCATTTCCACTGCAAAGCCCTAAACACTCTTGAAGTCTGTTTGCTGTCATTTTGATGTTTCAACTCTTTCCTTCAGATGTGCAGGGCTGGGAGATCTCAATGATCCAGCTGTGCACAGTCACCACACAAAAACGAGAGAAGGAGAAATTTCACATCAGGATTTTTTTGTTGTTTGCACAGTTCTTTATTGCCAAGAAATGCTCACTGTTCTTGGGCTCCAGACAGCAGCAGTACCTGATTTCAGACATCTGTATGTCCATGCCACTTCCACCCTCTCCTCCAGTGTTGTCCCACCACGAGGCATTAACAGGATGAGCCTGGAACCCACAGCGCAGATGGGAGAGGTGCAGATGGTGGATGTAGAACAAGGGGTAGGAGAGAGGTAGGAGAAATGTCACAAAGGACAAGGAGGGACAGGTGTGGTGGCAAAGTCAAAGAAGAGACAGGTAGCCCAGAGGAGCCAAGAGCTGAGCAGGAAACAGCATATTCCTACTGTCTGTGGCTAAAAGCCTTGGTGTTATCTGAGGCAGATAAACCCAGGGTTCAGGACACCAGCCTCTCTTGTAGAAAAGTGAAAGATTATTCAAAATTAATTCAGTGTCAAAAAAATAATATAGTCACTGTTTTGGCAGCGTGGGCATTTTAGGAGGGTCACCTGACAAAGAGGAGGCCTTGAAAAAGATCGTTTTATTCTCGTATCATCACCCTGTAGGCATTTCCCCTGGGTCCATCCCACAGCTCCTCTACCATCCTCCCACCCCGACTGTCTACAGCAAGATTTATGCAACCAGCCCCTCAGAGCTTCACTCTAGAGCATAGTGTAATTTTTTTTTTCCTATTCAGACAAGTTCACCAGAAGAGCTCCAGACTTAAAACATGGTGGAAATGATTCATAAAAAAAAAGAATATCCACCGGTTGGATTTTTTTTTTTAATTTTTTTTTTTTAATGGCCGGTCTCAAGCGCCACAGAAGGAAAGTGGTGCTGGATGCGCAGGCAAGTTCCAAATGTCTCCAAATTCAGTCTGTTGCACAAGCTCAGCTGGAGAGGGCAAGGCACAGACGGCAGCCAAGGTCACTGTGACAACGGGGAACATGCTTGATATGCTGAGCAGCGCCGGGCTGGGAGGCGCAGACAACAAGGGCCTGACGCATTTGAAGTGTCGCTCAAAGTTGAGCCGAGGTTTCTCCTTGTGGAGGTACCTGACAGCTGCAACCGCTGCCTCTTTGATGTCAGCGCCGATTCCAACCCCGGGACTTGCAATCCTTCCCGTAATTTATTCCCTTCTTGGCCATTGGCCCCATAAAAGCAGGTGGGGAAAATTCCCCCCCGACGGAGCGCCATGGTTACGGATCCGAGATCCAGCCTGGCCGCGCTGGCAGCCTCGGGAATCTCGGTCCTGTCTTCAGGCAAGCTCTTGCCCACCAGGAAATTCCAAATTAAAGGTCTCAGTTCTCTCCTCGTTTACCTCTGCTAGCATCCAGACTGACATTTTCCTTTTCCTTTTCCTTTCTTAAGCCACCAGCTCCTCTTTTTCCAAAATAAGCATGTTGGTAAAAGTAAATTCAGTCCCACATTTAGCACGGCAGCCCATGAAAATTAAAGGGCTGAAAAAGGAAAGCAAAATAAGCTGATAGTTTATAATACTTTTTTTGTTTCCTCCAGTGCACAGGTGAATTGGAAAGGTTTCTTACATAAATTTCAGCGGGATTAGTTATGAAACGTGCTTTCTGTCACTCTCTGAAATTGCATCTTTCAATAAATGTTTCATCTCCTGAAGCTAATCCTGGATTTATGCAAAAAAACTCCCCAAACCAACCTCCCCCCCCCTTCCAAAAGTCAACCTGTCCCACACTGCTGGAGATGTGCAATGAAGTATTTCAGACTGTATATGCACCCAAATAGCCTTTCTCTTTCCTGTGCATATTATATTTCTCCCCCAAGAATGTAGGTAGGAATTGTTGCTCAGTTCACGTTCAGGTAGTTTTACATTGTGAGATATTTGAGGACAAATATATGTATCTTAAACAAACAAAAAAAATGTTACAACGTGTATTTTTAGTTTAGTTGCCTAAAAATGGGGTTTGCTCTTGTCAGAATAAAATTCCTGTGCTTTGTTACAGCAAAATAGGTTTTCCTGAATATGGTGTTTTGCAGTGAATGCCCGAGATTCAGCTCTGATTTAAATAACCAGTAATTTTGTGTTGTCTCTGCCAGGAAACCAGTCTTTCCACTCCTCTTGGTCCTAGAGCAGCCAAATCCCAACTTTCTGAACACCCCACAGCATGACCCAACACGACCCCACCATTCCCTGCTTTCAGGAGAGACTGAGGAACAGCAGCTGAGTTTCCAAAGGCGACACAGCACAGATGTCCAGCTCCAGGCTGCCCTCAGTCCCACTGCCTGCTCTTCCAAAGCCTGACCTACTGATTCCCCCTTATGCAAGGAAGGGGCAGCAATTCCTCTGAGCCAAATAACACTGTTTTTCTTTTAAAAACCCTTTCATTTATGAGGGACTCTCCTGCAACAGGCCTTATAAAGTCAGTATGGAATGGGACAGCCCAGAGGCTCCAGTGGAAGAGGATGGTGAGATGGGACTCAGAGGGTAGAAAAGTGAAAGAAGGAAGGGAAAATGTGGGAGAAATAACGTGTTTTCATAGTTAGGCAGAATCACAGACTGACACAGTGAGGACAGGGCCCCCAAAAGGGCTCTAGTCCAGTCCCGTGCTCCCAGCATGTCCAGGCTGGATCAGGCTGATTCTTTCCTTGTCCAGTTTAGTTTTGAACACTTCCAAGGATGGAGATCCCAATACATCTCTTGGCCTCTGTCCCAGTGTTTCTCACCTAGGGTGAAAAAGCTTTTCCTCATATCCAGGTGGCAATCCTGGCCTTCCAGCCCCGTTCAGCCAGTTGATAAAGGCAAGGCACTCCCAGGGACAGGTGCTCCCTCTGACATTTGTACTTGTTTTCTCTCCTGCCCTTTGTAGAACTCATTTTATGATTCTTTTTTGGCTTTGTTTTTATGCAGTAGCTTTGTTACTGCCTGGTTTTCCAATTATAAAACCTCTAAATTTGATTTGAACCTGATAATTAAGCCGTGACTTAGCACATTAACCCTATTGAAGCCCAGAGGTGTGAGACATGCTCTTTAGGACCTTAAAATTTGGTGTTTAATTGCATCCAACCCTGAGAAAGGTGCAGGGAGGTGAGAAGTGACTGTGGCACTAATTCAGACCACAGGTGCTAACAGGACAGGACTTCATGCTTTAGGTCTCATCTATCCCATCCAGACCAGGGTTTCTTGCTGTCTTCCACCACAAGAGAAATAGGAATATAGCAGATGCACAAGAAGACTCAGTTGGTCACTGGCATCACTACAAAAGTTTGTCATGTCCTTTGGCTGTTAGAAATCCTAGATCATGATCTGCACAGTGGGTGTCTTTGTGTTCCCCTTCAAGGTCAGGGCATTTCTGGCTGCATCCTCTACCTATCAGGACAGGTCCAGGCCACTGGGGTACATCTTCCTCTCTTGCCATCTGAACTGACCAACTAAGCAAAATTTAGCCATAGGAAAAGAAAACAAAACCTTGGGATCTCTCTCCTGTCTGGAAGCAGCCAGGAGAAGAGTACAGGAAATAACATCCAGGAGGGGTAGTCTGGCATCCCACACAGTTGTCATTTCCAGCCACCTAAAGCAGCTGGTCAGCCCTGGACACAGTTTACAGCTTAGTGGGGAGAAAGAAAACTGTTTAACACAGCAAGAAATGTCTCATGTCACCACAGGAACAGTGACATCATTCTGTGCTGCCCTTCTCTTTCTCCCTTGCCTGTTTTTTCATCCCTTAATTCACTGGATACCATGCAGAGCTCCCAGGAGACTAAAGCCTGTGGGTCCATGGCAGGAAGGCAGGTCTTCACCCTTGGCAGGGGTGGCCAAGGGCAGGTGCTGTGGCAGCCTGCAAGCCAGGTTTTAGCATTTTGTGTTCTCCCAGTCAGTATGGCAGTAGCTTTCTTCCCTTCCTGTCCTTCCCCAGCCCCAAATCCTTGGTTCTTGTGGAGCTGTGTGACTTTTGGGAAGCAGAACGTGGATGTTCCACTGATTATCACACTGATGATAGCTGACAAGGGCTCAGTGGGCACCAGGGAGAAACTGGTCCTGAATTTATGTGCCTTATCCTCAAACACTTTGCTCTTGGTTGTGAGAAGCAGAGGGTTTTATGCAGACCTGAGAGGCAAATCAGCCTATGGGGAAATGCAGTTATGGGAAACAGGCTTAAAACTGCCCCAAAAGAGGCCTAAAACTGTCTTATAAGCCTTTAGCCCAAACCAGAGGAAAAAGTGTGTGTTTGTCTTTCTTTAGGGCTTCACAACACCCAGCTCTAAGTGTCACTAGCCCGCAGAGGAACAGGAGTGACCATAATGCTCAGAAAATACCCCCATTCGCTACGTCAAGCTCTTCCAGCGACACATCAAGCAGCTCTTCACTTTCATCAGAACCAACCAGCCAGATCTCCATGGGTCAGGATCAAACCCTGCTGGACATCACCTCCATCACTAGATTGGCCCCAGGAGAATCACCAAACCCTCAACCACTCGAGCAAAGAGATACAAATTTAGCAATATCGTGTTCCAGCCCACTCGGAGCAAGGACTATTCCAGCATCTTGCCCAGCCAGTCTCAGGCTCAGTCTAACACCCAGCTCAGCCACACCACAGCAATACTCTGACTCCTCTCCAGTCAGCCCAGGGATCAATGCAGCTTCCTTCTATACCTTCAGTCCTCACACAGCACAAAACGAACAAGCTTCAGCTTCAGATCACACACTGACCCCAACCAGGACAAGCACAAGGCCTCCAGCAACAACGACTCCTGAAGAGAGTTCCCAGGCTCCTGGCTATTCTAAAACTGACTTAAAGAATACAGGAAAGGGGTTTGAATCAGATCTGGAAGATCCTGATCATGAAAGGTATGTATCTAGACCATGCAAGTGTCTAAGTCCTCAAATGACCCACTTGGGTTTAGTGTCATTAAGAGCCCCTCATAAAGTTAAATATCTTTTATGCTTTAGATGTTTCCAGTGTTTGTTTTCCAGTAGCTATCCTGTGCTCCCACTAAACCCTGTTATCCAAGAAGCAAAATACTCTGTTTGCTATGCACCTATTTAGTTCTCCAGACTTGATGACAGACCACCCCTGGGCCAGGTCATCAACCTCAGCTCCTTCAACAGGGCACAGTTTTAAGGTGCCTCCTTTCCTTCCAAAATGACACAGCACATCTCTCCCTTGTACCAGCAGAGAGAAACTCTGCTGCCCCTGTGGAGCCCGACAGATCAGAGCTGGGGATGGTGCTCAGAGACATGGCCGGGATCTCCCTCCCAAACCTCCACCTCTGCTCCGGTCCCAGGCAGGCTGGGCTGGTTTCACCCCTCCTGGCCTCTGAACTCCACCCTGTCTCTGCAACTTCTTTCCTTGGCAGGAGATTTGTGACCGCAAAGGAGTTCCAAGCCATGGAGAAAGAACTAGAGGACGTGAAGGAAGACCTGAAATGCCTGAAGTGGAAGGTGAGGCACATCGGTGAGACGGTGCAGCCCCTGGCCGAGGACAGCAAGAGGTACAACGGCTACACCCTGACGGAGCTCAAGGCCATGGTGCAGTTCGAGGATGACCCCTACAAGGCCGCCCACAAGATCCTCACCGCGCTCTTCAGCGATGTCTACAGGCCACAGCACCCCCCCACCGAACAGCCCTGCAACTCCCGGGCTCTGCCCAGGCCCAAAATAGACCCAGAGCTGTACATGGTGTACTGTGACATTCTGAAAAGCATATTCCCTGGAATTAGCAGCCAGACCTTGAGGGAAGAGACGCAACACGTGCAGAGAAGCGCCCAGAAAGCAGCGCAATAACAGCAGAGCCCCCAGAGGCTGTGCAGAGTGAGAGGTCTCTGGTGGTTTGAGGACTGAACTGTGGTAGGTGCCAGCGGTTGAGTCTGTCCCTTCCAGGTATGGATCGTCTGTAATGATGTTGGTGAGCTCTGAGCCCTCATGCCACTTGCCCAATGAGACAGAGTGGGGAGGCATCCTGCACACTTCCCACATTTTAGAAAACAATTGCTCCTTTAGTGTCTCTTTCAATCAATGGACGTTTCCTTGTTTCCAGCAACTACAAATGCCAACAAAAGAATCCCAAGAAGGCATTGTACGTCCGAGCAAGGGCCTTCTCCCAGCCCCAAACAGACCAACCAACCAGCATCTGGGTAGTTTCTATTTTCTAGAGTGTATCATTCATTAAATGACATTACTTGTTAGAAAATCGTGCCTGTTCTTTTTTATTTGTTTATCTAAAGGTGCTTTGTATATCAAACCAATCAGCATCTGGAAATATTCCACATATAAAATAATATATGATATAATATATAATAATATAATAATTCCAAGAACTGGAGTGAGATCTGGGCATTGTAAACCACCCTCCTCTGCCCCCCTGCATCCTGGGTTAACACAGGCAGGCACCCAGGGCAAGGCAGTGAGGAGCTGGGGTGACCCCAGGCAGGTCCCCTTTCAGGTAACGGGGCCAGGGCACAAGACTGTGTGATGTGCCCCTAAAACACCAACCCAGCAGTGAGACAGGTAAAGGTCTGTGACCTCCAGCTCTCCCAGTCCGTGGTGACTGGGCTGGCAGACCAGCTCAGAGGTGTTCACAGCTGTGCTTTGCCTTCCCACAACGTCAATGCCGAAAGGCTGCGGCCCCTTGCTGGGGTGTCACAAGGTGATCCCTGCTGTGGAGCCTGCCCCGAGGGAAGGAGGCTGCTGGTCATGGGGGACACACAGGAAAATGGCCCTGGAGCTCCTTCCTCCCCATCTGGGAACCAGGAAAGTACAATGGATGAACAGCAGTTTGTGCCCCAGGTTCTGCTCACGGGGATGGCCTTGCAGTCTGTTCTGTAAAGATCTGGTGAGGGTGAAGGGGTGGAGGGATGTCCTTGAGCCACTTTGCTCAGTACCAATGGCAGCCACTGCTCCCCTGCCCCACTGGCTCATCCACTCCCTTCCAGAGTCCTTGGCACTTTTTGGAAACAGTCACTTCCCCAGTATCAGTGTGACAAAGCCATCAAAACTCAGCACACGTCTGTCCTGCACACGGCTGCTGCTCCCTGCCAGGCCACAGGGATGGCAAAAGCTAACCTGTGAGTTCAGCCCCACTTTCCCTCTGCTATAATCCACTTCTTAAGCTTATTTCAAAAATAACAGGGAGGAGGAATAAAAAAAAACCAATTACAACAAAACCCCAAAAGCAGATCATTCCCTGTGCCACCACAGCTCCAGACACCTTGGGCAATGGGAGGGGGCAGCACAGTCCAAGGACACGCTCTGAACCTGCTGGGCACATCTCCACAGGGACACTGACTGTTGTAGGAGAGCCCCTACCTGCCTTTCAGCATGATGGTCTCTGCTGAGCTTACAAATGTGTCGTTTTAAGCTCCCTGTTATTAGCAATTTATTTTAGTTACAAGCTGCTGTGCAGACACAGCCACAGCCCTGCCCACACAGCCCCTCTGTGCCACGCTGCAGCCACGACCTGTGGCCACACCTGGCAAATTCCGAGGTGCCCACAGGGATACCCAGGGCTGTGCACAGTGTGTGCCCTCGGGGGGGTCACAGCACCGAGGTGAGGGACAGGGAGAAGGCTGCCCTCCCTCCCACCTTCACGGGGGGGCACAGAGGTGAGTGCAGGATGGTCAGAGTGCAGGATGGTCAGAGTTGCTGGACACGCAGTATCCCCTCAGAGCAAATCACACACACCCCCCAGGGGAGCACCGTGGTGGAGCACCACAAATCACCCTGAAGGCTCTGGGCACCGTGGAGGGGATGTTTGAGTCTCACACGGGCACCCCCTGCATCCTGTTCTGCCTTCATGGTTTTCCTAGGAAAACATGTCCCCTTGGTTCACATGGATGGCTGACCCTCCTCCCACAGAGCTCACACAGTTACTGCTCCACACTAATTTTCCCGTGGCAGATCAGAGCCCCAGCTCTCTCAGAGGTCTCTCTTCAGAGCTTTCCATAACTTCCACAGAACCAACAAAACCACAATTTAGGGATTAGCAATATCAATCTTCATATGTTGCATTGCCTGCCCTCTCTGCCTGCAAAATCTGAATGCATTTGTAAGAACAGGCTCTGTGGCTTCTCCTGTTCATGAGGCCTGACAATGTGATCAGATTATCACTTTCAGCCTTGTTCTCCTCACACCTCAGATCCAGCACAAGTCTATGAATTATTTTTATTAGCCTTACGTCATCAAGGCTGGTTCTATCAAAGACTGTCAGTTCTGGGTCCCTTTCAGGTTGCAGAGTCTCCTTCTTCTGGGTCAGTTGTGATATGAATCACCTCTACCCACTTTACAGATGTGCATTTTATCCTGATAGTCCCAGCTTTTAGCTATTCCAGTGGAACTTCCAGGTTATTTGCATCCAACCAGAGCTGGTCAGTCTTGCCAGACCTTCTACATATTATTAGTAGGCATCTGCACCTTCTGAGCCCTCCAGTGTGTCCCCAGTGCCTTGCCAGCCACAGCAGCCCATGTGCTCAGCTGTGAGGAAACTGGGAAAAGAGCAGCAGGACAAACCCCCTCCATCTGTCCTTTACAGACTCCTCACTTCCCCCTTTTCCTCTGCTGCATTTGTACCTTGGAGGCAGCTCTGCCTCTGTGAAGATGTCTCAGCCTTCAGTTCCTGCATTATCTGCACCTTTGTGACCATTCCCAGTACTTGAGGCACCTTCTCTGATTTTTACACAGGTAGAAAAATCCACTGATTTTCTCCTGATTTTCCCGAGTGCTTCTCTTTGCTGGTGTTCCTGCACATCACCAAATCCTCTCGTCCTTTGCAAGCCTCAGCTTTCCTCGCTGGTTTTGCTTCCCTAGGTTTGCTGGGGAGAGAAACACAGCTGCCTGCCCACAACTCCCAAGAGATTTTCTGTGTCCAGTCTATTTTTTCTGTAGTCACCCACTCCTCACACAACAGGAGGGCGAGGGCTGGCCGCCCACACCCGCAGGAAGAGCCCTTCTCCTCGCAGGGTACAAAACTGAGTCAGCACAGCCAAAGTAAGACAGCAGTGTCTTAAATACATGGGCCTGAAAGCAAGTTTTTTGAGTTCATTTTTAGCATCCTGTACTTGCCAGAACGTGTCCTGTAACAAGCTTGCTCTGTCTTAAGGCTCTGGGTCTTGCTGCCTGGTGCTCAGAGAGAAAGGCAATTACACAGCCCCATTATTGTGACAGTTAAAGGGATTCAGCCATTGTTCCTCTTGGACAATTCTCACTGATTTGCACTGTGCCTCCATGGCTCCTTAGCATAAATAAGCCTTCTCTCCAAAATGTTATCACCTCCACTTGCACAGAGACAGGAGGAGCAGGCAATCAGACACACAGTGAAAAATTAGTCTTTAAATTCATGTAGCATTCCATCTATTCTTCGTTAAAGTATATAAGTCCATTTTTCCCTTGAACACGTACTCTCCAGTCTGAAGACCCAATACTGGACCAAATGATTCCTCCCTTCCTTTCTTAACTACGGGCATTACATTTGCTATTCTCCAGTCATACCCAGCTCCAGAGAGTCATTAGTATCACCCTTATTCAAAGTAACAAGCTCTCTGTTAGCTGTTCATCCCTGCACATATCCTGAGCACCACAGGCTGCCTTCCCCTTGTCATCTCTCAGAGCAGGTGCCTGGTCAAAAGTGTGAGGACATGAACACTTTTCCAGCCTCAGGCAATCTGTAGTTTGTACTGATTGATTGCATTAAATAAGCAACCTATTAATATCCCCCATGCTGTGGCTCGATAGGCTCCAGTTGGCAGAACAGTCTCTACAGCAGATAAGTTATGTTAAACAGAGAGTCCTGATGCATCCTGGTCATGGAATCACAGGGTAATTTCAGCTGGAAAGGTCAGCTCGTCCAACCCCTCTGATGAGACACCATTCCAGGAAAATAAACTGAATATTTAGCTCTGTGTTGCAAAAACTAAAAGATTGCAATACAACAAACATCTAACAACCAAAGAAAGAAAAAAAAAAAGAAAAAGAAGAAGAGAAGGTTAATTTACATCTGCATCAGTGGATAAAGAAGATAAATGGCAAACTTTCTGTGGCACTGGTTGGGAGGGCCCTTCACCGTGCTTGGATCTACATGCATGGCCGATTCATTTGTCAGCCTTCTCATTAATATCTCTAATTCACAACTGCAGTCAAAGTCACTCGCTGACCCATACATTTTATGACCTCATGGTTACCCCTTCGTACTGTTAATAATAATGTCCCTGCATAATGTGTTTTATGCAAAACAAGTCCACCAGCACTTCTGCTTCATGACTTAAAATACAGCAGAACGAGTTTTAGGCAACTGTCTGCATCTTTATATCATTTATTGGCATTATCTGTCCTGACATGGGAGTCACAAGGGTTTGGGCAGTGCCATTAATTACCATTAATCCCTTCTCCTACCTGAATGCCTGCTCCTCAGGGTATGTTCTCTACACATTTATATACCCGGTGCCTCTTGCACACTCCAATTCAACTTGACTTTAGGAATTTTCACATTAAATCTACCATCTTTGTTTTCCAAAGTGAAACTGCCTCTGGAGACCCTCTTCCATTTCTTGTATCCATACATTTCTGTAAGTGGTTATTTTCCACTATGAGCTGGAGCCCTCCCCTGTGGGCCTCTCCCTCCTCTGAGGGGTCTGACAGGCAAACAAGTGCCCAATAAGTCATCCCCTGACCCTTATTCTCAACCCACAGCCAGGTGACCAAGGTGCAGGTCTCCTGAGGGCCTTAATGCTGCTTACTCAGGAAAAAGAGTGACCCTGGGGCATCCCAAAGGGCCTCAGCCAGAATACACAAGGACAGAACAGGCACTGCTCTACCCGAGCCCTGTCCTGAGAAATGCAGATCTTAGCTTCTTGCAGATTTATTATGAAGAGTAAATTATCTGAGTGGCCCAAAGAGAGTGATTAAAATACACATCAATGTCTTGCTGGGTCAGTGGGTTTTGATCAGATCTCCCATTTTGTGTTAATATTCAGACACCTTACTATCCCTGAGAGATGAATAATAGTGGCTATTTAATTTCTCTGACAATATTAAACATAATGAAAAGTCATACTATCATCCCACATCCTTCCCCATGAATTCTGGCCACAGACAGATCTCCTGTTGGTAATGGAAATGTCACTTTGATTCATCTGTTCACCAACTAATCCTTACCAAACAATCTCCAGTATATAGCAAGCCATCCCAAAACATTCCCTTGGAAACAGGCCAGAGCCGACATTCACTGTAGATTAGTTTTTACCACTGTTTAGGCTCAGACCATTTCAGGTAGCTTTGCTACTTACTCTATTTTTAGCAGTGTCTCCAGCATACCAGGAAAGAGGCAGATCATGAGACTTCTGCTAATCTGCAAATCTGAAATTATAGTTGGGAGATGGAATTTATTATTACACAGCTCGATGACAACAGCAGAGATGACCTTTCTGCAATGCCAAAAGTTTTATCCACGCTGATCTGGGCCTTTAATCAGTGGGGAAAAGTACAGGTCATTATGTGTCAAAGGAAAAACTTTTTCCCTATTAGGACAGTTAAGTATTAAAACAGATTGCCCAGAGAGGTTGAGAAGCCTCCATTCCTAGAGGTTCTCCAAACTGGTTGAAACCCTGTGTAACCTGATCTGACTTTAGTAAGGTTAAAAAAAAAAAAAAAGTGTATAATTGCAGAAAACAGTCAGGGAAACCTTTGCTGAATGGGAGCACGGATCCAGGAATAATAAAGGGCAGGAGCAGTACCATCAGTGTGTTACACTTTCTGAGCCCACTGGAGAGCAGGGGGGGCTGTCATGTCCCAGCTCCCCTCCCTGTGCTGGCCAGAGCCTCCTCCTGCCAGCCCTGCACACTCAGAGAGCTGCTGTGCCCCCAGCCCCCTCTGATGAGAGATAAAAGCTCTCTCTTGCTCGAGATGAAAGTTCTTTCCCCAGCTCGTTACACACAGAAACCTCTATTCTGGCAGCCACCTCATGCTGCCATCAGGCAGGAGAGGATTCTCAGTGAAAGAGATGAAAGGGTTCAGCTGCTCCTGGTTCATCGTGTTTGCCACAGGAACCCTCTCTTCCCCAAGTACAATGCTCGTGCTGGGGGAAGAGTAATTTCCCTGAGAAACCTTCCCAGCCATAGCAGCTTCCCCTGCATTCCCTCACCCTTATCCCTACCACACTTGCTTCCCTTCCAAGCCTTTGCCCAACATATGTTTCAGCTCCAGCTGCACTGCATGGGATGCACTTTGGACACCAGTCCATAATACTCAGCTGGGCTCACACTCTCAGGGGGCAGCAGCCAAGGACCAGCCTGCTCCTGGCCCTTAGGATGGCTCTGAGCTGCAGTGTCCAGATCCAACACTTCCCCTCAGCTCTGCTCCCACCTCCTGCCTCCCCCAGGGCCAGCAGACTGCCAGGTAACAACTGCTCCTTGGCTGAGAAGGAGACTTGGCTGTTTCTAAGTTGCTTTAGCATTCTTTGACATTCATCTCCACACACTTAGCCCAGCAGGGTGTTCTTTCAAAAACCACCTTTTCCAGTTAGATGCAGATAAGTTGAGGATAACAAGCAATCAAGGTCTGAAAACAACTGATCACAACTCGGTAAAAGGGAAGAGTTGAGTGTGAGTTAATTGTATCAGTCTGACCTATGTCCTTAGATTTATGGTTCCCCAAAATGCCCATCCTCTCACCCCAGACCTACAAAATCTGTGCCTGCTGACATTTTTGGAAGTCCCACGAGCAATAGGACAGAGACCAACACTCAGGGTTTGTGAGTCAAGTTGATTTTAGTCACAGCAGAGAGCTTGGGTGAGTTGAAAGCTAAAGGCAGGATTTCACTGTGGTCTCACTGCATAATTGAGACCTTCCAGAAATAACCAGTGTACCTGGGAAGGCTGCTCACAGGTCATGAGGTGCAGGTTTTCCTCTCCTAATTAGAGCCAAAGCAGTGAACCGTGGGTGAAGGACCATGGAAGCAACATTTCAGGCTGGGAAACTCCTACCCTGCTGATCACTGGGATGGTCAGTCCTCTCCTTCACCAGGAGCTCAGAAAGGGAACACCAGAGAGCCCTCAGACAGAAAGTCTATAGCCTGATTTTCTCCTCTTCCAATAATTCCTGGGTCAGTAAGAAAGAAGCCACCAATTGCAAATGTTTCCTTTTATGTCCAGATCTCAACACTGCAGCACTTCACAGGGTCCTGAGCCAGGGTGATGGGAGCTGATGCTGTTAGACAAGGGTGGAAAATTGATCCCTTCCCAGCAAGATTTAGAGGCCAGTCGGACAAGAAATTACTCCAGCTGGGCACTCCGTCCCCATCTCTCAGCTCTTCCTGCAGCTCGGAGATTCACTCTATAATTGCTTTCTTAGTCCACATTTTATCCTCAGCTGACAGAATTCCATTAGGGTGATACAAGCTGTGTGATAAAGGGATGTTTGTGCCTCACATGGGCTGTAAGTCATTTCTCAGCAAACAAGCAAATAGTCACAGAAATGGGCAAAGAGGCCACCGAGCCAGGAAGCCACTTCTCGTGCTCTGAGCAGCAGGACCTCAGCAGGCAGATGGAGGCAAACACCCTCCCAGTGTGTTATGGTCCTCTCTGTCTCCCTTCTCTGCTGCTTGGAGGAGACACCTCCACCATGAACAGTTGTGTCTGCAGCATTTTTGGACAATAATCCAGCAGGCAGACCCACAGCACTGGACGTGGAGGCCCCACACAAACAGGAGCTGTGACCACAGGGGGTGGTGACACCCCAGATCAGAGACAACATGCCCTGCATATGGGAAATGAGGTGAAATGAAAGTAATCTTGTCACACATCTGAGCACATCCACCTGAAGAGTGTAACAGGTTGGTCACACCTGCAAGGCAAAGAACAGTGATTCCAAACAGGACCTTCAGGGCAAAAGGAATGACCTTCTAAGCATAATGATGCAGCTGAAAGCTAGATGTGATGGGGAAAAAGCTAAAAGGGAATACAGGAAGGTGCCCCAGGTGCTGCAGAGTGCCCAGTTGCAGTGCCTGCAGTACTGGTGAAGCCACTGCCAGGTGGTGTGTGCTGGACTTTACATTTTCTGAGGAATATTGGAAGAGATTTGGCTCCTTCAGTGACGTTTGCCATAAGAGCAGCTCCTGTTAGAGCTCAGCCTCCCAGATCAACAGCCTCAGACCACGGAGGGCAGCCTAAGGCACCCCTCAGCCATGTGCTGGTTTGGACTCTAATCACTCACTGCATCCCCCAGGCTGGAGCAGGGGTGATCCAGCAGTGAGGACAGCGGGAGCAGAGAGCAGGAGGGAATGGGAAAAGCTTCAGTCTTGCAGATCAAAGGCAAAGTAGACTTTGTCCCCTGCAGGTGGCAGAACTCAGATGTCAATACAGCCCTTCATGTCTGCTCTTACCTCACTTATGTTGGGAAGTGAGGTTCTTCTGGAAACTCAAGGAAGTTTAAACACTCAACATTCCACCTCTCTCCCACACTGCTCTCCCCCTCACACCCTCAGTGGCAGCAAGTCCTGTCTCTGCCCATTCCAGTGTGTTTGTTACCTTGGGTACAAGATCTCTGTCCAATCTCACAACACCTAGGCACTTCTGGGCACTGCCAGGCTCCTGCAGGTTTTCCCAGCCTGGCATTCATCCCTGGAATGGTAGGACTGGACATCACGACAGGGAATGACCTACACACCTGGAACATGGTGAAAGTCCAGCAGGACCAGGACATCTTATAGAAAACAGCATCCCCTCAGTGGGATTCTGTAGTGCAGTTTATGTCCCAGTCCTGTCTAAGCCATGAGAAGGGTTCAGTTTAATTTAGCTGCTCCATGCAGCTCCTCATGTGGCTCTTAGGGGTTCATGGATGAGTCTCCTGACTCAGGACTACACAAACTTCCATGTTTTCTATGCTGCCTTTTACACTGCATCACTGCTTGCTCCCTTGTCCACTGACAGGTGCTTCTCCCTGCTGTTTAAATGCTACTGGATTAAAGCACAAAAAGGCAGAAATTGAAAAGTTGCAGGCCTTCCCATGCATCCCAGCTTTCAGATTACACTGTGAAGACTGATAAAAATATCTTTTTCTAGATCAAAAAATAGGCAGCCTGACATGTACTTCCTCACAGATTATTTCTTTATCCCCTGCCCTTCTCAGTGTCACTGTGGGACAAACAAACTCATTTCTGTTATCTTGATCCATGCCCTTTAAACCAAATCACAACAGGTAAAGGTGAGCAACTATGGTACAAATGTTTTTGAGTGGCCCAGAAATTGGAACTGAGTGGAAGTTTAATAATTTACATCAAGGCCTTCAGCAAGAATTCATTCCTTCCTTTTCATTTGCCATGCTTCTGACAATGTCAAATGATGTCACTGGGCACATTCTCACTGAATTACTCCTGCTGAAACTGTGCCTGGCATTGACTGAAGTGCTCCGTGGGGATCTCCTTCACTGCATGTTTACTCTTCCTCTTGTCCCCCCTGTAAATGCCAGTCTGGCATGAATGTACTTGTGAGCAGTCAGTTAAAAAAAGGTGAAAAATGGAATAAACCTTTTTCCTTAACCCTGATTCACTGAGGAAATGAGTCAAGTGCCTCTGTTTGAGTGTATAGGGCTGACTAGGGCACTTAATTATTTTTGGTTATATAAAGGGTCATTACATCTCAGGTCCAATTAGGAGGGCAAATGCTGACATCTCCTACCCCACAGGGATGAGTGAAGTATTTTCTAATCATTATGCTACTTTCCATAAATGCCTGGCTGGAATCAAGGCCTCCATTAGGCCGTGCCTTGGTGGTGAGTGTCATCCCAGCACAGACAGCAGCCTGGCAAACCCTTCCTGCAGGCACAGACACTGCAGGGGAGGATGTTCCACAACTTAACAACTGTTCTGAAGTACTTTAAAGACTTTCATGCTCATTCCACAGTGTGGCAGTTGTGGGGAATCTCTTCAGTGGGTACAAGGGCCGTGAGGAGAGGATGGCAGAAGGCTGAAGCCATTAAACTTCATGCCAGAGCAGCTGCTCTGGACACAGATTTCCAGGGGTAAAAGGTGTGAAAGCTGGCTGCAGTTACCAACTGGCTGCTGAGGAAGAGCTGGTGACAGGGAAACAAGAGCCAGAGAGAGCTGTGACCCATCTGAGCTTGACCAAGCATTTTGCAATAACTGACAAAACCTGGAGTTACCTCAGAGGATTAGGACTGAAAAATCATTAGTCCATCACACAGGACTGGAGAGGCTCCAGACAGATACAGAGAAGACAGATGAGCATAGGAAGTCCTCTCCCCCTCATACCTTTTCAGATCAATAATAAGGATGCTGTTCTGTGCCAGGAAACACAGCAGATTTCATTTCTCTGCCCATTCAATGCAATTTGCTTAGAAGAACAAACAGTGTGACATCCCATTCAGAGATTGCCTGCATGACAAATCTGTGGTTGTGCCTCAAGTCTTCAGAACCTTGCTATAGCCTCTCCTCTTCCAAATACAGACATTTATATCTGTTCTGAGCTCTCACAATATCCCTCCTTTCAGCTCCTCCTGGTTTTCATTTTGGAGTTGCCTGTTCTATGATTTGGAGCAAAAATTAGAACTTGGTTCTTGGTAGATTTACACCATGAAACACATTATGGGGAGAGTTCTCAGAACAAAAGGGTTCTTTTGTCAGTGAAGATTGGGAAGAGCCCTTGAAAAAAGTGCAATGTACTCTCACACACTATTTTACATTTAGAAATAAAGTGGTTTGTATTTAGTACAAAATACATTTTGTTGGTCCACCAATACATAGAAATTTGGGAAATGCATTGCTATCTTGTGTCTTTTCAGCTTAGCCAGCAGCAGTGAAGTTTTAATAAGCAAATATACAAAATATTACACTCCTGACTTAGGACAGAAAGGGAAGCAGAATGGTTTGATTCTACAGCAACAGCTGCAACAGTAACTTTGTTTTATGTCTAAAAGCACATCCTGGCTTCAGTGTTCAGTTCTCTCTGGAAACAATCATGGAATCATCAACTGGTTTGGGTTAGAATGAGCGAGTTCTAAATGAGAAAGGAAGAATCTACTATGGAGGAAACTTATTCAGGTTGTCACAAACACCAAATTTTCAGTGAAAAGTACATTTGCATAGCAAATCCTGCAGCATATTTATCTGGTTAGAGCTTTTGTTCCAGGGTAATTTTTGTGTAAAAATGCACTCTGCTCCTTACCTTCTGCTACTTAAAATGCATTTACCATTTCTCAGAAGTGACAATATGTTGCTGGCAACAGATGTGAATAGTGCAGCACAGAAGTATGGCCTCCTTGTTCATATAAACAAGAGCAGGCAAAATAGGAGAAAAGAACATTGCTCTGCAGCAGGAGGACTCTGAAGAATGTGTAGAGTGCCTGTCAATGGCACTCCAGGCAAAACACCTCATTTGCTTTTTTCATGGTAGTGAAGTAATGAAAGAAATTATTATTTCACTGCAAAACATGAAAGAAATGACAGCTGAAATGCACTTGCTAAACCTTGATAAACCTTCTTCCCGATCTCCATTTCCTAAAAGCATCCATCACACTTCTGCAAGCCCAGGGGAACCTCTCCTGGTGTCAGAAACAGTGTCAGCTCCTGCTGAGAGCCACGGCATCAAAACAGGCAGTGGCAGCCCAGAGACAGACAGGTAAAGAGTTATTTCCTCTAATAAGTGCATTTCCCAGAGAACTGTTTACAGGCATCAGAAATAAATCAACAGTTCCTTCTAGTGAGGATCTTTGTGATCATCCAGCTAGGATTTAGGAAAAAAAGCTTGAATACAATCTGAAAAACCTGTGGTTATAAAACCATCCTGCTTCACCCAAGTTCTCAGTACTTGGCAGGAACAGTTGTCAGCAGTAAAGTTCTCACTCTCTCCTTTATGTTCCTTCCTCCCTGGATTTTCAATTAAGAGATGAGGGGGAAAAAAAAATCAGACAGATCATGACAAAGAACCCCCAGGAAAATAAATTCATGCTTTAGATTTCATTCTGCAGAAAATTTCCTGTGGCAAATAAAACTGCCCCTCATAAGACAGGAGGTGGTTCAGCAACAGCAGACGTAGAAAATCTTCCATTTGGATGATGTACATCTTGGAGATCTGGATTGCAGTTATTCAGGGCTGGATGCATCCAGGACTTCCCTTGTTATCTTTTCCTCCTCTGCAGCCCTTTCTCACACATGCAGGTTTTTGGACGCAAGGCTGTGAGGGAAAATGGAGCTGGTTTAGGACTGCACACTAACAGTGAAGCCACAGAGGAAGGTGAGGAAGAAAAATGCCCATTTCTCTTTCCATCCCAGAAGGAAAGCTGAGCTGTTCTTCTCAGTGATGTTTCTCACACTGACAGTGAGGGCTGCCACTTTTTAACAGTCCCACGGATTTGCTTTCCTGTGGAATCTGGTCTGAATTTAATGTTGACACTGACCTGAGTGGAAGTTTGGACCCTCCCTCAGGAGGGGACCATCTGAGGTCTCCTCCAACCCAAATCATTGCACAAATCTGTTATCAACAACCCCTGTGGCTGATCCCAGCACACTGGACAATAGATGTGATGGCCATGGCAATGAGAGCTGTTCTCTTGGCTATCTCTGCTCTGCAACCCAGGATGTCATTCCAACAGGCACAGAGGTGTCCAGGAGACTTTTGGCACAGCCTGTGCTAATATACTAATAACTTCCAAGCTGTTTTTGTACAGGCAATGGCCTTTCAAATCCTTCTGCTACAGAACTGTTATTAAAAGCCATCAAATAATTTCTGCAACACTTTCTGGAGAACTAATTGGAGAAAGTGTCATGCTCAGGAGAGAAAACCAATCATGAATATACCAGCTTGGGTGAGAATTTGTAATGTATTTAGGGAGCTATTCTGAGTAATTTACAATGAATGACTATAAATAAAATCTACTCTTTCTCCTTGGGGAAAAAAAATAGGGGTTGTCTTTTTAATTATCACTTTCAAAGAGAAAAGACCAAGCAGAAAGACAGTAGGAGGAATAAAGTCAACATGTTTTCCCCCTTGTTACACTTATCATGATTTTGGATTTGCTCAAGGAGCAACAAGCAGCTGATATTCAGACACATCTGCATCATCTCTAAAGCTGCTTAGAAGACCAGTGGGGATCCAATGAGCCTATTATTCCAAAAGCTATGAACCTGCACTATTAATATGAATTTTCAATTTATCTTCAGTCAGTTTCTTTCCTAAGGACTATCCCATTTGGGTTGGTAAAAGCCAAATATGTCTTTGATCTGTATCATCCCCTTTCAGATTTAGATATAGAATAAAAATCCACCAGATTATGAAATCCATAGTTTCTATGGTAAAAAAAGTAGAGTTAAATACATGTAAGAGGTGTAAGACTTCCCAGTTTTCCCAGTTTAGGTCTCTAAAAATGTTCATTATCCACACTGTGTCTGTAGGAAGTGATCAGAAGAAAACTGTGGAAGACAGAACTTACCTGGATCAGCCACAACTTGCTTCTTTTTGCTGTTTGTGACAATCTCATTTTCATTCATCATTCGGACATCCTGGTCTCCCACATGATTGCTGAAAAGATGCAAATCAGTCCAACAGCCAAAATAATCAACATTATGAAAAGTTATGAGGGTTTTCTATGGAAAAAGTTACCAAA